ATTTTTCTATATTGATGCATTCTTCTTCCTTGTCCCTTCTCACTTGGTTATTTTGTTGCTGGGATTTGTTAGGGAGGGACACTCTTTCTGTCCAGCTATGTTAACCTCTCTCTCTCTTATATCAGGGACCTTTGTCTGGTGCCTTTCCTCCACCAAGGTGTTTTTTGTGGGATGATTGTTTAGAGTTGTGGGCTGAGGCCATGCACCAACACTTTTCCTTGTCTTCCTTTGTGTCCTGCCTCTCCCAAGCTCCTTCTTTTCCCATTACTGTCTCCCATTCTCCCACATCCTCACTACTTCCTGTTCATTCATCCCATTCCTCTGCTTCCTTCTGTTTTTTTCTCTGTATGTAAGCTTTAGTGCCAACAATCTTGCTAGTGATTGTTCTCTGGACTCAGAAACAGTGGGAGGACTTTTATCTCAATTTGTGGATCTATGGATTCCATCTATGGCTGACCATTGGATCCCATAAGTTCTATCAGAAGACCCTACTCTTTGTTTTTCTTCTCCTCCTCCTTGTCTTCTTGCCTCTAGATGTTCCTATATCTCATTGGCATTTCTCCAATGCAGTGTCAGATTTTTTGAGCAAGGATGCTATTGAAAGGGTTTCTTGCTCTTCTCTGGGATTTTATTCCTGTCTGTGTGTTGTTGTTCCCAAGAAAATTGGGGATTGGCATTCAATCATAAATCTTTCATGTCTCAGCCACTTTCTTAATGTTCAAGTGGTTATTTTCTCTGGGACTTTGGATGACCAAGGTGGATGTCTTTGATGTTTATCTTCACATCCCATCTTCCCAACATCCTGACTTTATCGTCAGTTTATCCTTTTGGCCTGGGGTCAGCCCCACTTTTATTTGTTGCATAGTGTGTGCCTTCACATTCAAGGCTTTTGATTGATATACCACCATTATACAGATGACTGACTTCTTTTAGCTTCTTCCCAACAGAACTCCTCCAACCATACTCTTCTCTTGGGAGATAGCTTGTCTAGGTTAACTAGTCAAACTGAATGAAGTCTCATCTCACAAACAACCAGTATCTGGTTCATTTGAATGTGTTCTTCAATTTCCGTTACAGTTACAGCCATGGAGAGTTTGATTTCCACAGCTCAAACCTCACCTTCTCTCTTTTGGTTACTTGGGCTTCTATGTAACCCTTTGGGTTGTGCTCTTCTTCTTTTACCGTGGACTCTATATGACTAGTGGAACGTCTCTCAGGATCTCGTGTCCATCTTACCCTTCCCTGTATGATGATCTCACTTGGTGGCTTGACAGGCTAGAGTGCTTTTCTTGAGTTTTTTGGTCAATGGAATTGGGAGGAATGAGCCTTTTGGAGTGCTTAGTGATTTGTTAGGCCTTTGAACATTTTTGTCTAGTTGTATGTGGCACTCAATCTCACTCTGTGTTCCCAAGCCCTGGACCTCCTTTGGGTTCATTCCCTATGAGTCTGTCTTATGGCCTGTCATGTTCTGGGTACCCTGAATATTGTTGTGGATTGTTTTTCAAGACTCAACCAGATATTTCCCACAGAGTGGTCCCTCAATTCTCCTGTTTTTCAATAGCTTTACTCACATTGATGGCTTTGCTACTTACAACAGTGTTAAACTTACCTTATTCTGGTCTCCTGTTCCACATATATTGGCACTGACAGAGGATATGTTTAGTTAGGACTGGTCTGATCTCTTTCTTTACGCTTACACCCTATTTGTTTCTTCCCTCATTTTAACCCCTTTGGCTGGCTTTCCCTCATCCTACTGGTGCCTGCAAATTGGGTTCCCGGGTGGTCTGGTGTTGGAATGACACAGAACCAGCCAACATAAGTCCTGACTCAGTTGCAGTGCAGATGTTATTTTCCTATCCAGTCTCACTGGGTTTGAGATGAAGATTGTTAGGACCCTCTTCCTAATGTAGCCTGGAAGCAAAATTCCTGATACCACCTGATTTTGGACTGGAATTGACCCCTCCAATATGGTCTTACACGCCCTAGCCACACTACACCTATAGCACTTACAAACACCTGCCTGATGAAAGTTCCGGACTGTGCTTGTATCTTTCACCCATCCTTGCAACACTTCCCTTTCTTTCTAAGCAAAGAGTGTACCCTGATACAGATGAGGTGCAGTCTCCCACAGGTGTGCCTTAATACTGTTCTAAGGTATGGGTTCTCTTTGAGCACTTCCCAAAGGAGGTTTATCTAAGTAAAAGTTTGCACTGGTCCCTCCCCCACTTCAACATGGATTTCGAGCTAGGTGTGAGAAGGAGGTTATGTATAGAAAAAAATATATCATTTTCCAACACTGAAAATGGATTTCTGATACATACCACTTCTGGTGCATCTTATTTTCTTGCTTAACCTCAAAGTAATGATTGAACAATAAGCATAGAGGGAACCAGCAGCAACAGAAGGCAGGGTTGCACTTCTGTTGGTTGGAAGGTTGTTGCACACTATTTGCACGTAACAGTGCGCACTATCATGTGGAAATGTGATATTAGTGGTGAGCAAAAAAAAAAAAGTTTGTATATAGAGGGCAACACAGAATCAGAAAAAGGTAGATGTGAGGGTAGGTGAGTATCTATTGGAAATGCATTTTCAATGTTGGAAAAGCAAAGAATATTTAATTAATGGCAAAGAATAAAGTAAGAATAAGTTCAAGATTAGTCGTTTTAACAGAAGATTTGGAACAAGCCTTCGTAATTCAAAATTATGTTATTAGTTTTCTAGAAGGAACTTAACACAGATGTAGAATAGTTACAAGTACCCAGCGGATGATGGCTTTTGAGTTCTGTAGTCTAGTGTTAAATAATAGTGTAACCTCTAGTTATGCAATAATATGGTGTACAATAATAGGAAGACAAATAATTGTATTTATAATGTTATACATTAAAATCTACATTTTCTTTTTGTGACAAAAGTTTTATGGACTTTTTTTCAGGTTACGACCTTGACCATGTTGGATGATTGGATGTCAGTAAACCATAAAACAAATGCAGCTCACAATATCTTAAAGACTGGCAGGACCACAGAACAAACCTGAAGATTTGCCATTCATTTACCATCACATAGTAACCTTCTATAATTTTCAAAAATCCTGGATTTCATGAACAGCAACCCTCCAACCAGTACCATGCAGAATAGTACATATCCTTGGGTGACTCCAACATCTCTTAGTCACAAAAGTTGGCCTCCTGGATACCAGGCCAGTTTAACTGACCTCTTTCTTAAGAAGAACCCCCTTCATTTTGGAACAGGCATTTCTCAGTTAGCTGCAGCATCTAGCTACATAGAAAAAATGTCATCATTCAATGAGCATTCACAAAAGTGCCCCCACCCAGATGCTAAGGATAAACCCTACCCATGTGAGGTTTGCCAGCAGTATTTCTCTCTTTACAGCAGTCTGAAGTCCGACGGAGCCTGCAGTAGTAGCAGCTCCTGCAACATGTCTACTCATCCTAGTATCAGCCGACCACTCAGTGCTCCACCTGACCGTAAACAGGTGCCACCAACATCACAATCTCCCACTTTGACTGCACAGAGCTCCAGCCATCCCCAGCAGGCTCCTCTTGCTCTTCTTCCTCCTCCTCCTCCTCCACCACCACCACCACCTTCCATGCCTGAAAGATGTCAGGCAAACCATGTTGACTCCCAAATGAGCCAACATCACCCCCGTCGGCCTCGGCCAGCACCAACCAAGCAGTTTATGTGTCCCGTTTGTCACAAGTACTTCACTCAGAAGGGTAATCTAAAGACTCACATGATGATTCACACAGGAGAGAAACCTTACTCCTGCCAGGTTTGTGGTAAAAGCTTTACTCAAAAAGGCAATGTTGATACACACATGAAGATTCACACAGGAGAGAAGGAATTCTCGTGTGATTCCTGTGATAAACGCTTTACCCAGAAGGGAAACCTTAAGACACACATACGGAGTGTGCATACCAAAGAAAAGCCATTTGCGTGTGGAGTTTGTGGGAAATGTTTTTCTCAGCGTGGAAATATGCACACTCATGTGAGAACCCATAACAAGGATGATCGTTTCCCTTGCACTATGTGTGGCAAAACCTTTTCACAAAAAGGAAACTTGAAAACTCACATGCAGCGTCACACTGGTCAGCTGCCTTCTCGTCGTTATGGTTCTCGAGGTGGTTCACGTTCCTGCCCCATTGGACCGCGTCCAATGCTTCAGGGCTCCAGATCCAACATAAACCAGTTTTCATCTTTTTCACTTCATGACTCCTCTCCAGCTCCACCTGCTCATGGGTCTCCACAAACCCATTCTCCCTCTCTTAACCCTATTAATCTTGGCAAATCCTCTCAAACTCAAAATGCCCCACCAAGGCCTACTCCTAGCCCCTTTCAAAATGTTCCAAAAGCAGCACCAGAATCACATTCCCAATCAGTTCCTTCTCGCAGCTCTCCTCTTCCTCAGGTATCTGCAAACTCCTCCTTAGGAGGGATCCATAGAACACCCTCATCTACTCAGCCATCATCTGTTTCTAGCCCATCACCCCCCAGCATGTTGAGTCACCCATCATCATCAGTATATCCCCACCAGCCATCTCCAACTCTTGCACCCCATTCAGAATGTATGATCCACCCCATGATGCATAGTCCCCCTGTCAACAATTCTCAGATGGGTCATGGAAAAAGCCCATCCCCTTGTGGCACTCCTGGTCAGCTGCAGTTCTCTGAACAAGAGAGTCGGCCCTTCTACTCTGCTCCGCCCACCCCAGTTCCAGCTCCACTGGCTCATTCCCCAAGGTGGCTCTCTCATGGCTACCAGAGACATTATAGTAGCTTTCAAGCCCCGTCATCTATGAGTTCCTACAGTCCCATCTCTCAACACCCCACTCCTCTTTCACGTCTTGCTCTTCTCAGCTCAAATGCAATGGCTCATCATACGTTAGGAAGTCCTCTTTCTGATGATAAACATAACACCAGCGCTCCTGGATTATCAGGCCATCACATGTCGGACGACCATTTTCACTCATCAACTAGCCCCGACTTTTCCCAGTTGCTCGATTGAGAGAACTAACTTCGCAACATTTTGTAGTAAAGATGCTAGTTAATATGTCAGTGGTTTCTAAAATAGATGATTCAAGTGCGTAGTGGAGAATTCAAATTCATCCTTTGATCAAAGGACAATTTAATCTAAGCGTTTTTAGTGACAAAAAGTTAACTTGAAACGAGAGTATATACGAACATAACCTAGATATGTCACAATCAAATTTACCAGAGTTTAGAATTTTTCTAGTTAGTTCATCTTACTCAAGGTGATAGCATTCCGAGAAAAGTGAACTATACACAGTGTACTTTTCCATTTGGAAGTTTGTTTTTTTCATCTCTATACATCAGGACTTTGTTCTTTGTAAACTCTCTTAATCGTAATAATGAAACGTTTACTGTCACAACTTGTGACCCTGTACAGTCATTTGATACGGAATGGTTTTGTATGTTTCATTGTTAGGAAATCTTAAAGGATGCAGGTAGTGGTGCTTTTGTTTGAACTGTGATAATGCAACAAGACTGGAGCATAAAGATGACGTGGTATACGTATCACCCCGACTCCTACTCTAGGCTTCAGTGACTGGAACTGTTTGGTCGCTGCAACAAGAGTGGTGATTTTGGAAACCGGTGAGAGGGAATAAGACTATTTTTAAATAAGTATCGGCAGGGCTCGAAATTAGGGGTGGAAAGCTGGCGAAAAGCCAGTGGGTTCTGGTATGTAGCCACTGACCATAAAGGGTCACTGGCATTTTTTTTGTTAGTTGATAATTCAGCCCATTTATTAAACCGTAGTTTAAAATAATTAACAACAACAAAAGTGTGGAAATAAAATGCTACAATAATGTTTTGTCAGCGGCCAGGAAAATTGTTTTCGAGTCCTGGGTACTCAATCTGCGTATGCGTGTACATAATGGAACATTTTAGTGTGTTTGTGAAACAAGCATTTGTATTCTGTACTTATTATATAATCCTTTTTGTTGAACACGGCAGCTGTTAGACGAGATTATGGCCTGTTCACTTCAATTTTGAAAATGAAGGTTCCTCGAGTAACTTTAAAGTGGTGCTGTTTGTTAAAAGATTTCTTTACAAAGTAGCAGTAGCTGGCACCTCAACACTTAGCCTGCTGTAGCAGTAACTGGCACAGCAACACTTAGCCTGTTGTAGCAGTAACTGGCACAGCAACACTTAGCCTGCTGTAGCAGTAACTGGCACAGCAACACTTAGCCTGCTGTAGCAGTAACTGGCACAGCAACACTTAGCCTGCTGTAGCAGTAACTGGCACAGCAACACTTAGCCTGTTGTAGCAGTACTGGCACAGCAACACTTAGCCTGTTGTAGCAGTAGCTGGCACAGCAACACTTAGCCTGTTGTAGCAGTAACTGGTATCTCAACACTTAGCCTGTTGTAGCAGTAACTGGCACAGCAACACTTAGCCTGCTGTAGCAGTAACTGGCACCTCAACACTTAGCCTGTTGTAAATTTTGCACAAGTACCTGTATGTTTGGAAGGTGGTGCCAGCTTTATTGTTTATTTGTATATACAGAGTGTTCTAATGATGCAATTTTTCATTGTTGGTTCCTTCTGAAGGAATTGGAGATTGAAAAAACAATTTTTTTTTAGTCAATTAATGTTAAGTTTGTATGAAAGTTTAAGTTTGCTGAATGATAAACATTCAGAGAAAAAAATAGTTCAGACAGTGAAAAAAATGTTTTTGATTTTGTTGAGAAAAAAAAAAACGTTCCACTCCATCCTAAATCTGTTTTGTTAGTTTGTTTTTTTCCAAAGAAAAGGTTGGAAGGTTAAATATATTTTGTTCTTTATTATCAACTAAGATTATTATACACTAAAACTAAAAATCATGACATAAACAACTCTGACGTAATTATTTGTGTTTTTATCTATAGTTATAAACATAGTTTTGGTTGACGTGCAGTTTTCGTTTTAACGGAAGTCAGCATACAATCATGTATTGAAGCACAAGAGTATTATTCCTAAATGTCTTGCCATTACTAGAGTTTAAGAGATTATGCGTTTGGTTCAGATTGTTAGTTACTAATAATTAATATAAACATTCGTAAGATTTCACCTATTATATATACCTGTAGATTTAATCTTTCAGGGCAGCACATTATTCAAAAGTTATCTTTTTTTTACAAAATCAAAAACTTTTTTTTTTCATTATTCTTAATCAAATGTGGCACATACTAAAATGTTTTTGAATTTTAAAAAATTTATATATATTTTTTTTATTATTATTAATATTATTATTATCCATTATGTTCTCTTCTACGAGAAGTTTGCAAAACATTTTTTAAGTTTTTGAGTCATTAAAATCATAAGTAATCTTTAAATATTCGTAGAAATTAAGTGAGCAGAGAAAGATAACTGTCGAGGTAACTTCGTACAAAAAAATTCAAAGTGGAGGAATTAGTAGCACAAATGAGATAAAAGGGATTATATATATATATTAAATGATACACAAGCGTAGGTGACAAACTTTGACGTGCAACCTTACCTTTTTACATCATTATAATTATTCTAGTTCCAGTTTTGTTCGTATTAGTATTTAGTTTCGTGTGTATGTATCGGCTAGCATGTATTTTAGTTCACTATCGCACACTAACAAGTAAGATATATACATTAGGGAGAACCCCCCCGAAATAATACTGTAATGATATATCACTACTCGAAGGATCAAACTACAAAAGAAATTGACATCTTTATCTTTCTTGAGTTGAGGTGGAATCAAATTGATTAAATGAGCAAAGTAATCTATACAAGAAATGAAATCTTTATCAGTATAGAAGTTGGAATAAACTCTGTAAGTACTTCAGTAGTAAAGAAAAATGCCTATTCAGTCCGATACTATCCACAAAATATACACAAGGCTGAAGCATGATCTGATAATATACACAAGGCTGAAGTATGATCCGATACTATCCACAAAATATACACAAGGCTGAAGTATGATCCAATAATATACACAAGGCTGAAGCATGATCCGATAATATACACAAGGCTGAAGTATGATCCGATACTATCCACAAAATATACACAAGGCTGAAGTATGATCCGATAATATACACAAGGCTGAAGTATGAGCCGATACTATCCACAAAATATACACAAGGCTGAAGTATGATCTGATACTATCCACAAAATATACACAAGGCTGAAGTATGATCTGATACTATACACAAGGCTGAAGTATGAACCGATACCATCCACAAAATATACACAAGGCTGAAGCATGATCCGATACCATCCACAAAATATACACAAGGCTGAAATATGATCCGATACCATCCACAAAATATACACAAGGCTGAAATATGATCCGATACCATCCACAAAATATACACAAGGCTGAAGCATGATCTGATACTATCCACAAAATATACACAAGGCTGAAGCATGAGCCGATACCATCCACAAAATATACACAAGGCTGAAGTATGAGCCGATACCATCCACAAAATATACACAAGGCTGAAGTATGAGCCGATACCATCCACAAAATATACACAAGGCTGAGGTATGATCCGATACCATCCACAAAATATACACAAGGCTGAGGTATGATCCGATACCATCCACAAAATATACACAAGGCTGAGGTATGATCCGATACCATCCACAAAATATACACAAGGCTGAAGTATGATCCGATACCATCCACAAAATATACACAAGGCTGAAGTATGATCCGATACCATCCACAAAATATACACAAGGCTGAAGTATGATCCGATACTATACACAAAATATACACAAGGCTGAAGTATGATCCGATACTATCCACAAAATATACACAAGGCTGAAGTATGATCTGATACTATACACAAGGCTGAAGTATGAGCCGATACCATCCACAAAATATACACAAGGCTGAAGTATGATCTGATACTATACACAAAATATACACAAGGCTGAAGTATGATCCGATACTATACACAAGGTTGAAGTATGATCTGATACTATCCACAAAATATACACAAGGCTGAAGTATGATCTGATACTATCCACATTTTTTGGACTGGAACTTATTTGGTGCAATTGTTTACATTTTACAAACACCATTCAAGTATTGTTTTTAATTTAATTTGTTTTTCATTTAAGTCTATTGGAGTCTATTATTGCCACAGTATAATATGGTAGTGAAACTGTCTGCAGGTGAACTAGGGTTCAAACAATTTATCTTATTCAGATAACCTATCACTAGTTTAAGGTTTTGTGTTTTCTCCGAATTGAGCTTTTATTTTATCAAAATTGATTTTTAAGGTTTGAATTCTAATTAACATACATGCTAACTATTATCAGATTAACACCTTGTATATTCTTTGAAAAAGTTCTAGGTTAGTTTTTTGATTGTAGACAAAAACTATGTTCAGAAACCAGAAACAGTAATATTCCAATAAGTAATTGTGGTATGTATTTCAGAAATATAGTATCTTAGAAAACACGTTAATGTTACAAGTGGTTTTCCTTTGTAATTTACTGCTGTAAGTAATGGAAAAGGTGTATTGAAAAATCTGAAATGTTTTCTTAAATTTTAAAATGTTATTGGAAGACATTCATGGTCTTGTGATTTAGAAACTAATGTTTTACTCTACAGGGGAATATCTGGATTAGTCTCTGTAGTCAGAAATTGTCATTTTAAACCTAAATCTTAAGTTTAGCTGATGATAAAGTTTGTACAATATGCATGAATATCAAATATCCCTTATGTTTCAATCGACTCTTGTACTTTTGAAGTCAAAATTCTATTTTATGAGAATAATTTCTTTTAGTATTAGAAAATTATTTATTGGTTAAAATTTCAGTCAAACATTATAATTGATGACTGTATGTAGTATTAGAATCCGTACGTTCAACGTTTCTTTGGCTATTTACTACGATACGAAGCTTAGGAATAATTAGCCTAATAGCATATATTCATAGGACAGTCTTATTGTAGCAGTAACCAACCAACCTTCAGAGTAATCGGTTTAAATGTTGTAGTCCTTCCATCTGTATGATGTATATTCTTAGGACAATCTTATTGTAGCAGTAATTAGCTAAATGTTTGGTATTCTTCCTGTTATTGTAGGCTGTAACTTCTATTTTATGCACTGGTTTGAAAGTATTTAAAAGTTAAATCCTTTCACAAAGTTTTTTAATTGTAATGCTGTTTTTTTTTTTTTTGTAGTTGTCTTCGTGATACTAATTTTGTACATAAACCTCAGTCCAAGAAGTATCACTTGGAAAGTTGTGTTGACTTGAAAAAAATCAAGTTAGATGAACATCATGTGGTAGAAATTTACTTTATTTATTTGAGTTGTCGGTTAAATGTTACTAAAATCTATGAAACTTGAAACGTAAGGGCGTTAATACAGGAATACCTTGTCAGTTTTAATTTCACTTTAATATCAAAGTTAGAAAGGCCGTTAGTTTAAAAAAAAAAGGCCTTGATATCAGATTCTCTATTGGATAATAATTTGACAAGCTTTGTTTATCAAATTCACACACCACTTATCATCCACACTTCTCTTTTATAACCAACACAAACATAGAGTAACATTTTGGTCTAGGAGCTGTTTCAAAATCAACCATATTTTACAAATAATAATCATAAAAGATGAAGGTAAATTTGGAGTCGGGGGGGGATTGACAGTGAAGGTTCATAGCTCTTACCGAGTGACCATATTGTAACGTGTGTACAAACTGAGTAGCAATGCTGAACGAAAATAGTTCATTAGAATTTATTGTTTTAGTTTTTAAAACTTCTAATGTAAACCTACTTCGAAAGCCTTTTTCCTTTTTTTTTTTTTTTTTTTTTTTTTTTTATTTTATACATAATATTCTTCATTCCTCTGAACTCTGATAGTGTCCAAAGGCAAGGTCTCCCTGTTTTTTTTTTTTTCAAGGGTATTTTTTTAATTTAAGAAAGGTGATTGATCTTGTAAAGCTTGCAACTGTCTGAATGGATGTGTTGTGGGCACAAATTATCATCAGTAATATAATATCATTGTTAAAGTCTGAGGTATTGTTGATTCATTCACATAGTAGGTTATTAGTGTAGAAACAGTATATTGTTGACTAGCTGGATTACATATATTATTACTACTAGTGTTATAAAACTATGGTAAGAATTTTAAGGTGCTGAATGGTTCCTGCAGCTCATGCTAACGTTACTAATTGTTAGCCCATGTACTTTTGATGTTAAGCAAATCACAGTAGTTTCTATAGAATATCTTCTCAAGGGTGTGCGTGGCAGCTTTTTACTGATCTCACCACTGTATATTCCTTGTTTTGGTTCACAAACTTTGTCCCCAGTTATACAAACCTGCTAATTGTAACTCATGATTGCACGTGTTTATAGAGTTTCAACGTTTTGAAGGTCCACTCTCACTCAAGTTTTGCATTACCTTTAAAACCTGTAGATAAACCAATCATGATATTTTAAGAAAGAAATGATTAAATTATTTAATTACAATTTATTTCATACTTGTCTTAAAATACGATAGATGGCACTAGTTACCATAAATCTTGACGATTTTCAAAATAGTGAGGTATGAACGACTCTTCCCTGTAGTCAGGTTGTAATGTTGCAACTATTTAAAGCAGTGGCTAACACGAGTTCCTAGGTCTGTTTTCGTATGATCCACGTTGAACTTAAATAATCTATAAAACCCGTTTAAAGTGTGTATAACTACATAAATATACACGAGATGAACTTCCTAGAAACATAACCGGATCATTGCAACAGCTAAAACTTGACAAGTTTTTATGTCAGAATTTGCTCGTGTTTCAGCAACACGTGTCTTCTAGAGCTCGTGCCATCCTCGGGCATGTTGAAATTGTACTATAATACCATTTAAAGAAGAATCTTCGTACTAACTAAGTGATCTTTTCCAGTTATGTGTTTTTATGTATTAAGGAAAGAAACTAGCAGGTTTTCTTTTTTGCATCTCGGATGATTTGGTTTATTGATGATTCGAGTAGAACGTTTTCCTTATATATATATATATATATATATAAGCTTTGTTCATGTTACCTTAACTTACTTTTAAAGGTAATCATATTTTATTTTGTGAAAAGCGTTGAACTTGTAGTTTTAAGCGGTTCTTATCACAAGAAAAAAGCAAGACCCTTGTGTAGTCACTCCTGTTTTACTGAGCGCTTCTGTTATTTGTTCTTCACGTTCTGAAACATGGTAATACCATGTAAAATATTATATTAGCCCGTGACCTATACAAACTAACCACAAAACTTTAATAACGCTATAACTTGGGGTTCGATCCCTGTGGTGGGCACAGCGGAGAAAGCCAGCCGCGCATCAAATAAAACGAGCATTTTTGTGTGGTAGTTGTCCTTCGTGTCTGTATAATATTGAAGTTCAAAGTTCTGAACTGAATGAATAATGGAGAAGCGATTTGTGTGAACAACGATATTATTAGACGTGTAAATAGAAAAACCAATATCTAATTACAGTCTGTGATATACGGTATCACGATCATTGGTCTTAAGAACTTTGTTTTCGTTTATATTTAGTTTGTTTGTTTGTTTTTTTCTTGGTTTCTGTTGATGGTGATAAATAATATTGATTGCATTTTCATTGTTGTATTTCGTGTTTGTTTGTTTCAGAAACCAGTAACTTAAAAAAAAATTCCCGCAACACTTCGCTGAAAACTACAATTATTAGCGAAAACTGTTATATATATTATTACGTGCAAACAATAGTTTTGTGGTTTAGCTTGTATATTAGTCTGTTATAACGCATGCGTCAGACGCTATGCTGTTGTTTGTTTTATCACTGGTGTTTTTATGCTTCAAATGTAATGTTTGAGTAGCAGTTAAAAAAGCGTTTTGGTTCTTAGAATTTTGGTTTCAATGTTGCCATTTTTTTTTATAATGTTTCAAATGTTATATTTACGTAAAAAGGTTTAGCACAAGTCGGATTGGAGAACGCTTATAATTTGTGATTTGAAAATTGTATTGATTTAACTTAATGTCTTATCGATTGTATTTTAAAACAAATGTGACCATAATTTCCAAGAAACTAGCCAAAAAAAAAAAAGAGCCTTTTTTTTTTAAATCCTAATGCACGGTAATAAAGGTTATATGTAGCACAAATTCAGATATTTCTGTTGAGGACAATTGTATGTAGAACTCTTGGGATGAAAGTGTTTCCATTCGACGAGTAAAATTCCTTTCATTTGACGAAAATCTCGTTTAGCCATGTGTAGAAGGCCATATTCACTGAGCATGTTACTTGAATTGTTTATCTTGCTTGTTGTCGATTTTTTTAATTTATTTTTTTTTCTAATCTGGATTGCTGACTTCCCACGCTTTGTAAAGAAAATAGATAATAAAGCTTGTGCTTTATCATATCGCGGGTTGCTTTGCTTTAATTTGGTTGGTTACACAGACTTCTTTAAGCGTCGTCCAGTAAAACGTTATTCCATAATTATTGCAACAGATAGTAAGATATAGACAATGTCCTGTTTTCATTATTTTATAAATATATATAAGCCTCTAAGTATTTTTACTGTCAAGTAGACGGGGGTTGCAGTGGTCAGCGTCTGGACTGTGGATCTGAGGTTCCGTTCTTCTCATTTTGGGGTAGTTCATGTGTTATAAGAGTGACGGTCAAATCCCACAGTTTGGTCTAAAAAGTTGGCGATGGATGATGTTGACTAGCCGTATTCCCTCTAGTCTATCAATTATAAAGCAGGGACAGCTAGTGCTGATATTACTCGCGTGGCTCTGTGAGAAAGTCTACAATATATTAGTAGTGTTAAGACTAAGGCATTATTACTAGCTTCAACATTTATTGCCGGTAGTACATATTTAGATTAATGAACAATAAATGTACTTAGCAGTACTCTGGCTTTTATTTTTTACCGTTTTTAAAGCCGCGGAGTCCCCACTAAATAAAACTTTTTTATATTGTTTTATTTTTGAACTTTGAGGTGGGATTAAACTGTATTTTCCAGTCACATAAATTAATTGATTTCATTTAGAAACCAGATGCTAACATTTCTCGAAGTGACCAATATCCAGAGCACTGGGCGACTTTTACAACCAATAAAAAAACTGAAAGAAGTCTGAACACCAAACGCGGAAATACGAACTTTAAAAAGTTATGATTTTCTCTGAAATTCCTTTAAAAACTGAAGTTGAAAATGCTTGCATAAAAAGTTCTACTTGTTATGGACGAGATAATTCCTAAAAATTGGTTGGGTAAGAAAAATTCATAACATGAAAAAGAAGTCTTGTTTACGTTTCATTCTTTGACCGTAAATACAAAATAAATAAATAAACTATATTGAGTACTATAAATTACATCAGTTTCGATGACGAGGAACCCACTTTGAGACTAATAATGGCTGGAGACGGCTTGAATGGGTAATGAAGAAAAACTTTAATATAAGTTTAAGATAACAGCAAACGGACAAGGTTTTGTATGGTACCTGATGATGACAAAACCTTGTCGAAACGTTGTACATTTGCTGTTATGTTAAACTTATATTAAAGTTTTTCTTCATTACCCATTCAAGCCGTCTCCAGCCATTATTACATCAGCTGTTATATAGGCCATAAAATCAACATTATATAACAATAATTATGGAGATTCATATGAAAACCAAGATCCAGAACAAAACATTACTTATAAGAAATTCGAACTTAATAAATGACAATTGAAATAAAACTAAAATCGTAATATTTTTCAACAAAAGGCATAACTTTTAAGTGAAAATATCCGTGGTAATAGCACCTAAAAGCATTAGGTAATATTCCATCTACCGGACAATCCAAACAATACAAATATTAATGAATAACGAGATATCTGTCACAGAATGTCATTTAGGAGTTGGTTGGTTTACCCCACAACGTCACCCCTAAAAAGTTTAACATTTGAAAAGTAACATAGTAGTAAACATTTTGGTGTTATGCACCGCCATTAATTTCTGCCCTTATTAGATACCTAACCTTCACCGTTTAGACAATTATTACAAAGTAATACGAACCATAAACCCTTACCTAAATAGTTCAGTAATAATTGAGCACCCAAACTCCTCCCTTGTAAATCTCATTCAAATATAAGCCGGGCTAGCTGAAACGAGTTCAGCTACCTGAAGTTGGCCCTTCCGGCCCGGTACATTGAATAAGTTAATTTTCATATAAGATTTAAAGCTAGTCTTTATAGAATTTAGATATCATTAAAATACTAGCGACCTCTCAAAATCACTAGATAGAAATATGAGAGAATCATTTCCTTTATAAAAGATTTATATTTTAATAGTTTAAAACATTTATAAAAAAAAATTAATTTGTTTTTAAGTGAAGCATTAATGTTACAGACAAATGTGTTTTTAATTGGGAAATAACTGTTCCATTTATTAAGGTATAAGGAACTATACTATTTGGGGTGGGATGAGAAACAAGGATGGGAAAGTTAAATTTTCGTCTTTTACCTAATATTGCTAAATGCATTCTGTCTTGTATAAAACTAATGTATCAGTCCAGTAGTTTCGGAATTGCTTACAAATAACGGTAATTTGAAATATGTCAAATCAATATTTACATTCCATTTTCATGGCTTTTTTATATAGTAATAACTATTATTTAATGTGTTTTAGTAGTATTAATTTCGTTAATTGGAATTTACACATATAACCAGAATTATAACTTTTATATCGATAGGAGTAATAAGCCTTTTTATTCTTATAATAGTAGATGAAACATTTACTCCCCATTTAAATAAATGTAGTATATTCAAATGTTTTTTTTTTTAAATAGAATTAAGAAGAAATAATTTCCATTCGAAAAATAAACAAAGAGGATAATATGATTTTTTACTAATTTTAATACAGTGTAGCCCCCCCTTTATAACGGGT